CCCCCCCCCCCCCTTTCCAGTTTTCTCGGTGAGGTTGAGTGACAGTCGTTGGGGCCATCACTGCACGGCCATCCTGTGCCTATTGGGCTAGCGCATCCAAAATATATTTTTCTGGTAGTGGCTGACCCCTCGTTATTGCCCAGGCGGGAAGGGGGAGAAGGGGGGTTAGTAGAGTAGGATGGGGTGTGAATCTACAGTGTAGAATGTGGGTGGGTGATAATGTGCTTTGATCGTTGTGAAAGGGTTACCTTTGAGGGAAGTGCCAAAATGCTTCAGGAGGGTTCTGATGCCCATGAATGCCCAAATGGGACAGAAGATTTCATAATACATCCAGCTGCCGATCCCCACATTAGGGGCCCAGCTCAGACACTGCCTTCGAACAGCAATCGCCGCAGAATGGATCATCTTTTCTGAAGTAATATTCGACTCTCCTGATTTTAAATATGTTTGTATCCCCTTTTTTTTTTTTTTGGCAACAGGGCCCAGTGCCCAAGGCTGATACCTTGACAGACGGCTTTTTACATTTTTTTGCATTTTCACGTGCATTTTTTTGTACACGTGTACAACATGCTACACTTGGAGGTAGGGAATTGTGCCACGTCACCCTACAAGGTAATTAGAGTGCATTAGAGCTGGAGGTAAATCCTACCCTTACGCAGGGAAGTAATCAATGCCTCGGCTCTTTTCTGATGTAGGTGCGAACGCATAATAGGGAGGCTGCTCCCAAATTCCAGCTCATACACATCACAATGATATTTCCTCGTATCACTGAATAGGGACGCTGGACCCGGTTTCCAGCTGATACATATCATATCTTGTATAGGGACGCTGGACCCGATTTCCAGCAGGTGCAGCTCCCCACCAATAGATGGAGCCTTCGACGCAGGGGCCTACTTACTGGGGCTGCTCTTATCACCTCGTTAAGTAGGTTTTCCCACATGCGAAGTTAAAAAAAAAAAGAAAAAAGAAAGAAAAAGAAGACTGCATCAAAACAAATGGCTGCAGAGCAACTCACACGCAGATGGTATGCTCCCACACCGTATGTATCAATTATTGAGAATTACAGATTGCAATAATATTCCAAGTTTCTGTGGGACCCTGCTTTGTCTACTTCCCTCAGCCAACAATCTCCACCTAGTTTGTCTACTGCTAATTTCGAGCTACTCGCCTCAGGCACTTTGCTAGCCTTTCCTTTGTTTATTTTTTGTTTTTTGTTTTCACAATATTGCTGTGGTGACGAGGACTTTCTCTACTCCTTTGATTATAACCGAAGCTGGGTAATGGTGACAGTCATTTGTCTCCTGTAATGTGGGACACTGGACCCAGTTTCCAGCAGGTGAAGCTCCCCACCAATGGACCGGAGTCGTCCCCACTGCTTCCTTGATCCTGTCGGTACTCTTACCACCATAGGACTGTAGGATCTGACCAAGATGTTTTTTTGGGGTGGGACAAAGAAAGCTTCAGGGGTGAAGGTGGATTATCACTTACTGTCATTGGTTAGGGTTCAGCCTTCTAATCAGGCTACGAAACTCTGATGGGGTCTGACCTGGGGCCCCATTCCTTGCCTTGTTCTCTCTTTCTGCCAACCGTTCGCCAGGGAGTACGACAGCATAGCTTACCCGCTCGCGAGCCACCCTCTTACCCCCAACTCATGCCTTCTCCACAGCCCCTGGCTGTGCGATCTCCATCTGGTCGGTCTTGGTTTGCAGTTGGAGTCCAAACTTTCACCCCTGCTGACAACCGCGCTGTATGGTTTTTCCTGCTATCGCACGGTGCCATCAGAGGGAAGAATGTAAACGTTCAATGTTTGCCGGTCACGACGGGATGTGCTGGTGCCTGATGCCAGTAGCTCTCAGTGTTTCTGTTTTTCTTCCTTTTTTTTTTTTTTTTTTTTGAAACTTCGTATACAGGAAACCTACTTAACGAGGTGATAAGAGCATCCCCAGTAAGTAGGCCCCAGCGTCGAAGACTCCAACTATTGGTGGGGAGCTGCACCTGCTGGAAATCGGGTCCATCGTCCCTGTACAATGATGAGATGTGTATCAGCTGGAAATCGGGTCCAGCGTCCCTACGCAGTGATGTGTGTGGTTATCTCCTACTCAGCATCCAATACTGTCTATATGTGTTCGTTAGTCAGTATATGTCACATGTTGGGAGAAGCCTATCCACCTAATCTACTGTATCTCAATACGAGCTGAGGCATCAAGCCCAATCCTATCGATCAGTCCTCAAGACGAAATCATTACGATGATGTGATGTGTGTGACCTGGAAATCAGGTCCAGGTGCCCTATACAATGATGAGTAGAAATGTCGGAGTCCACATTTGATTACTAGTCTACTGTATCTCCAATACGAGCGAAGACATCAAGGCCAATCCCATCGATCAAACCAGAATACAAAACCCTAACGATGATGTGATGTACTGCCACGTTACTCTAGGTAGCAGGGGCATTGATTACTTCCCAGCGACAGGGAGGGATTGACCTCCTGCCATCGGAGCCTAACCCTAACGAAAAGCAATCATCAAAACACTCCACAAAAGAGATCAGACACATGAAAACCCTAAACAACCTACCTCCCACCTGAGGGACAGTCAACATTCCTTGTTGATTGAAATTGAGGGCCTGATGACTCCAATCAACAGAGGGAACATCTACTATCCTATTCCCATTTGCTGCCAGACATCGAGGAGCGATTCAACATTGAAAAAGAACGGGGGGGGAACGATAAAACGTTTTCTCAACACTAATCCCCTCCTCCCCGTCCTCGTCAGATCCCCACTCCTCTCCCCCTGTGATGATGTTGTTGTTGCTGCGGCTGTTGTCACTGTTGTCGTCGTCGCCGCCAGCAGTGCAGGCGCCGTTGTCGTTGTTGTTGTTACTGTTGTTGTTACTGTTGTAGTTATTGTTGTTGTTACTGTTGTCGTTGATGTCTCAGTCGTGGTTGTCGCGGCTGTCAAAAACGCAGCTGACTGGACTGGTGTCTCCACCGTTGTTGGAATTAACACCGTCGTGTAGTCTTTGTTGTTGTTGTTGTTGACATCATCGTCAACGGCGTCAATATTGCTCTTGTTGTTGATGTTGTTGTTGTTGTTGTTGTTTTTGTTGTCGTCGTTATCCACGCTGCTGTTGCCATCGTCATTGCTGCCTGCCCCCATGTCACTATTGATGATAATGTTGTTGTCGATGTAGTTACAGATCTGCTCTCCTGTCTTGTCACTGTTAATGATGTTGTTGTTGTTATTGTTGTCGGTGACCTGCGCTCCAGTCTTTGCCGCTGATATTGTCGATGTTGTCGTGTCTCCTATACTGCCGCTGTTGTAGTCGCTATCGGAGAGTGCCGGCCCTTCCCTGAAGAGATCGTAGCATCTACGTGTGATCCCGCGCTCCTGCTCCCAATCGATGATGTCATTAAGCAGAGGATCCGGACCCTCCTCCATCGCCCAGATAATGTCCAGTAGCTGCTGGGACCTATCCTCCAGCCAATCAGCCATCGAAGCCCCGCCCCCTCGGACCTCAGATGGGTGGTTTGCTGGAGATGACATCACCCGCACAATCTCTTGCAGTTGAAGCCTCCCATCCTCCAGATCGGACAACCATGCCTCCGCTCGCTGTCTAAAGAGCGTTCGCAGTTTTTGGTAGTAAAGAAAGGAATAAGGAGGCCTGGAATCCCTCCACATATCAACCCGGAGATAACTGGGGCCAGTACCCAGGTTCGGCTCAGAGCTGGAAACCGGGTCAATCGTCCGATGTCAATGCCAACTAAAATGGAAAAACTGGACAACAAAGATACCTAAAAGAAACAGCAAATAAAAAGAAACAAGCTATCAGCTAGGGGAGTACTGGGAGCACTACCCAACTTAGCTTTCCCTGTGTCTTTACTGCTTACCACCATGCAAGTGACTCGCATAGCCTAGAACAGACACTTACTGGCCTAAAACGACCAAGGTCCACAGTCTAGGCGCCTGCTGCTGTTTGGAGCCATCTTGAAACTATCAAGTTCCCTTCTTCTACTGGCATAATGGTCAGACCAGCCCCTGGCCCACCTGCTGCGAAACCATTGCAATGGACCCAGATTGTGAAGACACTTGTCAACAATGCAAGCCCAGATGAATATCAACCTGCTGATGGTTATCAATAATAATAATCATGTCCAGATCTGAGATGGGAAAAACGTACACAGACGAAGGAGTGAGGAGGGAGAATAGACTTAGAAAGAAAATAAAAGACAATGTCCACTTCTGCGTTGGGCTCCCTCCTCAATCACCACCTCAGTAATCAATAATCTGAACGCGAATCTGAAGTTCTAACACAATGTGCCACGTGGCATGTCAATCAGTTCTCATCAGTGAGTTGGAGCAATGTCGACATCAAGATAACCAGGTACGTTGTCGATTGGTAGAAGGGGTCTGCCGGCCAGCGGATCTAACCCTATGCCCGCCCCGCGTCTGTCACCCGCATTGCTGGTTATCTCTCCCTCGTGCGTTAATGACCTCTCTCCCGTACTTTGATTGAATCTACCATCCTCCCCGTACGTGATTTGAACCGTGATTGACTCTCGTTCCGCGCCCTCTCCTGAACATGAACGCTGACTAGCATTCTGGTTCATGCAGTACCCCGTATGCAATCCCGTTTGTGCGTGATCAGAGCGTAGGGCTCCTGTGCTCTCCAGTTTCTCCCCCTGTCGATTGAAGCCACCCCCCAAATTAAACGTACGCTAATCGGGGAAAATTCCCTCTCGTGCATGAATCAAGCCGGGATCTTCGTCCGGGTGCGTGCGCTTGGAGGGACCTAGCGTCAAAATCCTAGCCCGCCAAGGTGCCCCCCCCCCCTCCCTTTGTTTCTTGATTGCTTTTCTTCTTTGAGTGGATCGTTTCCTCTGACCGCGCCTGATCCCGGGCAAAGTCCCCGTTCGTGCGCGTGTCCGTGCCCAGCCCCGAATTGCATCCAGGTGTGTACCTGGGAGGAACCCCGCACACCCTTATGTGCCAGTTCCTCTAGGCCCCCCGAGAACAGGCCCAGTCCAGCTTAAGTACCTTGCTGGGCTCAGCAGCAACAACCACCGGTTCACCGAGAGTCTGGCTTGTTGTTCCCAGCCATTGCAACGCCCTGGTACTGTGGTTATCCCTAGCGCAATGCCCGGGCCTACTTCGCCGACCGAACAAGCATGAGTGCCACGGACCAGGCTGTGCCGTCGGAAATTCGGAGCGGCCTGGTATCGGAGCTACACCGAGCCTCGAGTAATTTTCCCCCAAATCTTTGAATCAGCCCTCGCTATTAAAGTTGTTCCTGCGCCAATTCGAAGGTACCACCCAATTTTATGTATTCTCCCTACTCGCACGTTTTCCCGCATCTCCCTCGTCGGCGCTCTTTATCAACGGTCGCCCGCTTTCCATTGAGACCTCTTTCGAAATTCAGGTTCTTGCGGTAGTGTTCGGTAACTCGCCTCGTCCTCATGAAATGTTCGGCGCAAGTCCTGAAACATCGCCATCTGGTAACTATAATCCAATGGCTACCGCTGGTACGGCCACCCAGCCGGCACATCGCCGTTCTGTATTCAAATTCTCCGTTTTTATTAAATTAATAAATTGTCTGGCAATCGTCAATCCTCGGAAGAATAGTCCCCCCTGGCCCGCGTTTCGCCTCAGTCTCATCCGAGTCTGGTTTTTCGATGTCGTTCATGCACCATTTGCCAATCGTCTCTCGTGGCCTCGGATCGCAAGGCAAAAACAGTCAGAACATGCCACTGTGCGAAAACCGTTCCTCAACTGTAAACTTTTTTAAAGGAAGTAAAGCGCAGCGTAAGGCTTGGGCCCTTCGACAATGTATCCACTATCACCCCATAGTCATGATTTCCTCCCGAATATCGTCAAAACAGAACAACAATGCCAGTCGTGTAGCCTCGCCACGTCAACAATAATATACGTGGCGGCGGCCACGTAAGCGGCGGTGCGTGGTAGCTGCCATGCTAGCATGCCCAGAAGACAATTGCAAGCCACCCACCATGCCGAGCCAGCAGAGCATCGCTGAAATTCACCCAGTTCCCATCGTAGAGTCAGTGTCCAGCCAGCGTCGCGCTAGCGTCGTTATCAACGCATGAAGTCAGCATTGACGCAAGACAGAATATCCCTCGAAGCCAGGAGGTCAACGCTTATGTAGCGTTGACGCGGGGTCTGGACCCCAGGTGCTGCATCCCTCAGTCGTCGAGATCTCAACGCAAACGACGACCCAGATTGACCTAAAACAGAATTATTTGTGGCCTTGATGCTGTTTGGGTACCCGCGCACAACAAGTGAGTGTATCCGACCAAGGGCCCGAGCACGGTGCATTTCACGCGACAGTTGACTTGGACCCTTGACTTTCCAGGGGGCAGTGCGTGGTCACATTGCCTGCCGCAGGCCGTGTTTGGCCTGTGTCGTCTGGGCATAGTTTCGGGCCCCCAGACTGCTGCAGAATACGCGTTACTCCATTCCTGCCGACCCATTTTCGAGTTCCATCGCAAAATAATTAAGACCTTAACCCAGCTTCATAAGCAAACACAATGTCAGGAGCAGTTTCAAGTAATTCTCTTTTACTAAACCATTTGTCCTCAGACGGAGATTGAGACTTGAAACGTACCTTGAATTGCTTTTGTGGTCGTCCACGTCCTCCTGTAGAAAACAATCCATGTTCTATAATCTGATCTACTTCATAACTGCCTTCCATTGATGGCAGAATATTAGATGGTCTGTTTGAGAATTATTTGCCTTCTACATAGGGTAATAGTTTGGAGCGTGAAAGACAGGATACGTTTTGAGGTGAGCGGTAATATCATTACGATAAGACGGTTCTTTTGAATCACCAATCACTTTGAGAACTTCCCTGGGTCCAAAATAGACAGGCAGTAATTTTTAAGACATATCTTTGTCCAATGAAAAGTCTTTGGACTTGACCCAGACTAGATCACCTTCCTTGAATGTACATGGTCGGCGATGCTTGTTAACTTGTTCAATCATTTGGGACTGAACTTTCTTCAGATTCTCCTTTACTTTCTTGATGTCTTCTTGAAACAATACTGCATATTCTCGGGTCCCTGGAGGTAACCTAAGAAACTGGTCCCTTGTCAACACATCAATGGGACGCTTAGGTTTCAAC